GAGCTAATACATATAAGGCAATATAGTGTTGGTGCTAGCGCAAAGACTAACAGGCTAAACTGAGGTCCTCCATCCATATTTTCCGTTACAGGCTGAGTCGTTTTCACCTTCTCTCTCAGTCAACGCTCTCTGGTTTCATTTAAAAGAGTCGATCATCAGATATTGTCCAAGATTAACCTTCAGGGTGGATATAGCTCGCTCACACCAAGGACCTATCCACATCATCATTTACCCAGAATGCTTTGTGTGTAAATAAAATGGCCCCGTTTGTGTAATATATTTTTAAACTTTTAGTTTACAAATGATAAAAAAAACTAAACATCCTACAGTATTTTTACAGTCTTTATTTTACAGTTAAAATATGTTTACCAAATAAAGTCTAATGTTACAACTAATCATGGATCCCTTTAACAAGTCAGTAAAAATTTAGGAACTGAGGGGACCGGTTCTGCAGTTTTTGTTTGTTTGTTTGTTTTTCTGTCCTGTCCGTTAATGTGAAACTCATAATTGATGTATGAGTGTCCATATGAAGCCCAACAGTTTTACTTTCACAAGTTCAGCTTAAAGGCATTTCACCATATACTACACTTAATTTATACTGAAACGTTTATTATAAATTCTTTTGGGATTAATTTGTAACGGACACTGAAACGGAAAAAGTAAAGAAAGAAGAGAAAATGGAGAAAAGTGAAAAAAGACATAGAAAGGGAAACAAGAAGATATGAGAGATGCTTTAACACGAGAAAACACATTTAATCTTCCTCTACACCTGCAAAGAGAGAAAACAAAAACACAGCAAAAAGATATAATAATAATAATAATAATAATAGTAATAATTATAGTCTCACTGACAAGTACTCAGTAATTTTTATGAGTAGAATATTATAATAATAAAATATATACACATACACATTTAGTGGCCAATGCTGTCCCAACATAGATATATCTAAGAAAGACCTTTTTGTGTGCGGTTGTGAGCATGCACACGGTTTCACCACGGGAATGTTTAATAGTGACAGCTCTGCAGTTTTTACAGGAATCTTGTCTGATGTTTGATTCCAGCTGAATTTTTCGAACCCTGTGGATCAGAAATCTACAGATTTGCAAATCATTGCATCCAATGAGAAAACTGACAACCTCTGAACGCTGGATTTTCCTTTTCCTTCCATAATTAAAGTACGTTAACCAAATTTTGTGTTACCTATTAATAATAATGAAAATAATCACATTATTTTACTTACATTTGATGTTCTGAACCTGGCATGGACTGCATTTTTATAAAAAACCAGGTACAGTCATTTCTCCAAAAGTACCTGAGGGGGAGAAAAATAAAAGGCTTTATTGCTGTTTTTAACTTGTGAATATAATAATTATTGTAAATTTAAAACATTCTGTAAAGAATAAAAAGATACAGCAAAGTGTTAAAGTTTGTCATTTAGTTAAAGTTCAATTTAAAAAGGTTTGAGCTGCCTGCAACAACTATTTTGAAAGAATAACGTAAAAATGTCCTTTGTTTTGTTTCCTAATGTTTTTATTTTTTATTTTTGTAGAGCATGATCAAAAGTCATGACTGCGAACCTTTGCGACTCACGGCATAATTGCGAACCCGAAATAAACTCCTGATCAAAATCTKAAGACCGGTCAAAAAAGTGCAAGAATTTGCATTTTGCACTGTTGGATCTTAAGAAGGTTCTAAGTAGAGCTTCACAATGTTAAAAGAAGAAATCAGTGCAAGAGACAAGAACTTTTGAGCAGGAATTTTCTGAAAACTGCATTTACACTCAAACATGATTTTTTTTCAGCTGATCAAAAGTTTAAGACCATAGCTCAAAAAAAACCAAAAACCCCCCAAAACAGAAATCAAAGTGTCAAAAAAAGGACTCATAATGAGTAGCTCCACCATTCTTGTTGATGACTTCAAACAATGGTTTAGGCATGCTTGATGCCAGTGTTTCCAGGAGGCTAGTGGGAACGTTGCTCCAAGTGTTGAAGATGGCTTCACAAAGGGCATCCACTGTCTGGAAC